ATGGCAGAGCTTTAGATCAGGAGAGCTCATAAATGAAATTTAGATCACTGTGGACAGCAAAAGCAAAAAAAAAATATTTAGGAATTAGATTTCTTGTAATCTTCTGAAGAGTTCTTTCAGCAGACCCACTTGTGTTTACTGTCACTTTTTTCCTTACTTTTTAGGGGAAAAGATGACTGACTTTCAAGGAACACCTCTACAAAGCTCAGGGGTGTTCCATCACCACATACAGAAGTTAAGAAGAATTTGCCTTCAGTAATTTGAAGATGATACAAACCAGGAAGGAGTGGTTGATATATCAGATGGATCTACTGCCTGTTAGAGAGCATTAACAGGCTGGAGTAATGCATGAACAGGAACTTCATGCAGTTCAATCAATGAAAATGCAAACCCCTGTGTCTGGGGAGGAAGGACACTTCCAGCATAAGTTCATGGTGGGGGGTGACTGGCTGGAAACCAGATCTGCAGAGAAGAATCTGGAGTTCCTGGGAGACAAGCTGACCATGCTGCAGCATGTTGCCTTTGCAGCTAAGAGGGTCTGCATTAGCAGAAGTGTTGCTTGCAGATCGAGGCATCTGATCCTTCCTCTCTGCTTTACACCTGGTGAGACAGACTGAGGGGACTGTGCACAGCTCTGCCCTCTCTGAAACAAATGACATGAACACAGTAGAGCAACTTCAGCACAGGGTCACAGAGATGGTGGATCAAAGCTTGTCTTACATGAGTAGTGGCTGACAGTGGCTGGGACTCTCCAGCATGGAGAAAAAGGAGTTGGGCGAATCTTATCAATGTGTATAAATATATATCTGGAGCAACTGAAGAAGATGAAGTTAAACTCTGCACTAATGCCAAGTGGCGAGACAAGAGGCAACCACAAACTGAAATAAATGAAGTTATGTCTAAACATTAAGAGAAGAACAACTGCTGTGATGCTGTTTGAACACTGGAGTAGGTTCCCCAGGAGATTGTGAGGTTGTCATCCTCGGAGATACTCAAAATCTGACTGTACATTTTCCTAAGTTATCTAGTCTAGATGGCTCTGCTTTGAGCAGAGGCCTGAACTAGGCTGTCTGCAGACATGCTTAGCACCCTCATCCATTCTGTGGTTCCATGAAGTCTTATAAAATGAAAGAATGAAAAAAAATAATCACAGCTTCTGTTTACTTCACAGTGCTTTGAGATTCATCAGTGTAAACTCTGTTATAATAACAAAATCTTTTACAACAGCAAAAAAAGAGAAGGTTTATTTTGTCTTTACTTTTCTAAGACAGTGGGTTTCATGGAAGAATATTAGCTGTGACTTTTGAAGTCATGGATATTCAAAAAACTAGAATTTAAATAAAGAATCTGCACAAGAAGGATATGCCACTATATCTAACTCTCCAGAACCCCATTTAAATAGACAGGTTTAATATTTAACATCAATTTCATCCTCTACTTGTTCATTTTTACCATAACTGCATTCCAATTTTTGAAAGTGAACTGAGGTAATACTGGAGAGACAGTAAGGGTAAAGTCTGGAGAATACTTTTAAAAGCATCTTCCCACAGAACAGAGACCTAATAGTGTGCTACTTAGTAGGGGCTAACAAAATCAAACAAGCAACGCATGCAAAATAAGCCTACACATTCTGTTGCATTTCCACCTTCATGGAAACAATATAAATGGCTATGTTTTGCATTTTCTTTGTTCAGGGATGTTCTATTGAAGCAGAATCCAATTTCTGCATACAAGAAACTTCATGATATTACTGGTGACAGCTCTCTGCTATTTCTTTACACCTTGGGAGCTTAGATTCTGTGATGGCCTGAAATTCCACCCAGGTTTGAGAATTGCACTGCTAATTGCACTATTAGCATTTTGCTGGTCTTGCTTAGCAATTTCATAACTGTGCCTAGGTCTCAAAGAAGAAAGAAATGGGAGATGTGGATAACTGCTCTTTGGCTTGTTCTGCATAAACTCCAAGGAGATATTAATCTCTCACTCTATTTTTTTATCATAATTTTTTAATAGTGCTAATGGAAAAAGAGGGCACCATAGCAGGAGTTTCATGTTGCATCTGACAGTATAAATGTTATGGACCATTAATTGACCCAAGGGTTTAACGCGTAAATCAAGAGTTTGGACAGTTAAATGAGACAAAGGGTGGAAAAAAAGAGCTGGCTGAGAGAAAAGCACATGGACATAATATCAGTTCTGACGACTTGCTTTAAATGCTCGTTCTGAATTTTGAGACCTGTCAGTGGGTTAGTGACAGAGTGATTTCAGAGGCAGCACAGCAACAAAACAAAGAAGAAAGGTGAAAGGTGATTGGAACAAAGAATGGGAACTTTAAGAATAGAAAGTACTGTGATGGTGCTATCACAATCCCATACAGATTTGGAGGTCTTTTTGGAGCTATAGTGTACAGTGAAACAAAAGCCAATGTAAAAAAAAACTCAACCGTAATTCAGTAACATCCTGGATCCCAGAAAAAGGACCAGTTTGTTTTCAAGGGCATTCAAAGGATATTAAAAATTCTCACTGTTCTATAACACTAGTGTAATCAGCCTAGAGCAGGAAAAAAGGTGGAGAGAAGGAGAAAAAAGGAAGTGGCGGAAGGAAGGGCTCTAAATCACTGTTGTGTTTAAACTCCAGTTGGCAACTAAATACTCCCTTCCCTTCCCTTCCCTTCCCTTCCCTTCCCTTCCCTTCCCTTCCCTTCCCTTCCCTTCCCTT